TCTTTAATCTGAGGGGGTTCCGCCTTTTAAAACAGGGTGTCGTCACCTGTACTGTGCAAGCGGCAGACGGCCATGGCATTTCGCCATTTACAAAGTTAAGCGTCTACACACGAGCCTTTGCGTTTTAGCGCGCGCTGTTATCGTCGCGTTGGACTCAATTCTGCGCGTGCGCAGGTGACGACCCCTCTGTTTTAACATACCAGGCATTGACCGGCGGTCAGTTGCCTCAGTTCGGCTAGTAAGGCCAGTGTTCATATGACACGAGAAGCTTCATGCAGTAATTGAGATGCTACACTTTGTTGATGTTCCTGACGTGACTGTAAATCAACATATCATCAGAACACGCTTGACTTGACTGACCATTTCGTCGACCTCAGTAATATGCTCAATTGATGACTACCCGTGTGTGTCCATTATACCTCGTTTGTGCACGTGACAGGAATATGGTATCTCGCTGTCCTGGTGAAGACACGGGTATACTGTGCTACCCAAATTTGACACCTTAGCTGCCCTCTGATTGGTCTACCTGTGACGTGTTAGGGTTGGGTAGCCAATCAGGTACAGTCTTGTAAGGCCAGACTTTTTTTATTCCTTGTTTCTCGAGTTTTTATAAGTCATTTTTTTTTGAGGAGGGCGGGGAAAAAATAAAATTATTTTTTTGTTCATTAGATTTGTGTGATTCTCAAAGAATTCTAAGTGAGGTAATTGATCGACAAGAAGAGATTAAATAAAATTTGATTCCATGTATGACCTGGTTGGCAGTTTTCAGCATTAACTTCAAGTTGGATTTGTTAGCTGGCGGGAGGAAAAAAATAAAGATAAAAATAATTCTTTTTAGTAATTGTTTGCACTCACAAGTCGACGGGCGCGGGAAATTACGCTGAAATTCATTTTCTGCTCCTGTTCATTCGGCGGGTTCGCGAAACAAGGGATAATAAAGTCTGGCCTCACGAATAAAAAATAAAAAAAAAAATCTGGTCGTGGGGGCGTATTTCGTCCCAGCAAACCTGTCACAGGCGGTAAGGAGAATTTGAAATATTCATCGACTTTACTCTCTGAATATTTACTTTGTGACATTTCCTCGACAAAAATATTGCTTTAGTGGAGAACCTGATCTGTATTTTGTGAACAACATGAAAAACACTATTTAACTTTCTCACAGTTGGTAGAACAGCGAGAATATACGAAATTGTTTTGATGTGTGTCTTTCAGGAGTCATGAATGTTACTTGCAATTTTATATATACATTATTACTCGAAAACATATTGGAGAACAATATATAAATTGGCATTATACTTACAGTAGGTATGACTTCGTAAATATATGGAGATGTATTTTCCTCGCCGTCACTCACAACCACCAAACAACCGCCAAGTCTGCTGCTGTCACCGTCTTGCACAACTTCAATTCCTTTTACCAGTCCTATAATAGTGATAGATATACAATTACACGTACATGACAATGCATTTGTATTCCTCTTGACGCAAAATGCACACGCATTAATTACATAGCTTTGCTGATTGCTCAACATGCTCAATATAGTCGTGTATATTTGTTGAAAGGCTCTGATATATAATGTGAATTGAGAAATGAGACGAAAACAAAAGTATGGGCATTTGTAGGCTGACATGTATAGGCCGTTGCTGGATTGTTGTCTGACTGGGGTATCTTGTAGTGGTACGTTCATAAAATGGGTAAAAAATCGTTCACAGCGTTGAATTTAGATTGTGTTATCTGTAGCTGCCCATCATCAAAAATACTGTATTTAAAGAGATTCACTACATTCTAAGTAACTCACGACTACACAGCCAGACAGTGTTGTCGATTTTAACAAAATGGTGGTCTTACACCCATTTATGTCATTTGACGTCACAGTAACTCTTGGCCACTAGAGGGCGCGAAATAACTAGTGGGGCATTTGTCTGCCATATTCAAATATGCTTACGATGGAATCAGTGAAAGGATACGAATCACACATGAGAGATAGCCAATCCGGGGTTTCCAAAACTTCCAATGGCAAGGAAAAGTTGTAGCAACCTCAAACCCATATTGTATGACAATACAAATTGACAGATTTTGGTTATGTCGAAACTAAACCTTTGAAATAGGTTGCGCCATCAAGCGACGAATGTTTTTTGTGACGTAAAAATAACATAGACGGGTGTAAGGTAATGCTGTTAAAATAGATAACCCTGTCTGTTTGATAAGTCTCGAAAAACTAGTGTTTTAATGGATGACCACAGATTAAACGACATTCACATCACATGCCGTCGCTAGAGGGCGCAATTTAAAAGAACGGTGCAATGTGGCTATGCTATCCTCCGGGGCGGACATCCGGGCATTTTCACCGCCTGGCAACCCGCGGCGGTGAAAGCAAAGGCCCAAAACTCGCAGAAAACGGTACTTTGGGGTGATTGTTGAGACTCCTCTGAACAGTGCAACAAGATTAGCCCTACGTGTGTAACCTATATAAATTTGGTTGTTCGCGATTACTTCAAAGTTGAGTTTGTATTGTTTTCTCGAATTTTCACCGGCTCGACCGCCCCCCCCCCCCACTCAGGATCCGTAGGGGTCGCATGCGCGTTCCCATTTTCTCGGGAAAGGGGTACTTTTTGACGATCTGTCTCGGGAACATTTTCCCGAGAAAATCGTAGAAAAGGGGGTATTTTTTGCTTGTTTTCCCGAGATTCTCAAAATAGGGGGTGTATTTCAAAACACTTCCCGAGATATACAAAAAAGGGGGGTTTAAAATGAGTTCTAGACTGAAAAGTTCCCTAGATAGGAGGTGAAATTCATCGGAAAAGCTCGTGAAAGGGGGGGTTAAATTTTCTTCTTTTCCCTAGATAGGGGGGGGGTCAAAAAAATGAGGGAACAAGCATAGGCCCCCCCTAAATATAGGG